TGAAAAAAGTGGTTGGTTTATTTTAAATACAAGCTTTGTGTCACCAGATCTAAGTGGTGGCAATGGTCACCGTATCCACTGTTAGCGTAACACACCCGCTTTAAGGACACTGACTGCTATTCAATCTATAACAGTGAAAAAAAGTGTTTTTTGTTTTTAAATACAAGCTTTGAGTCACCAGATCTAAGTGTTGGCACTGGTCACCGTATCCACTGTTAGCGTAACACACCCGCTTTAAGGACACTGACTGCTATTCAATCTATAACAGTGAAAAAAAGTGTTTTTTTTTTAAATCCAAGCTATTGTGACACCAGATCTAAATGGTGGCACTGGTCACCGTATCCACTGTTAGCGTAACACACCCGCTTTAAGGACACTGACTGCTATTCAATCTATACCAGTGAAAAAAGTTTTTTTTGTTTTTAAATACAAGCTTTGTGTCACCAGATCTAAGTGGTGGCACTGGTCACCGTATCCACTGTTAGCGTAACACACCCGCTTTAAGGACACTGACTGCTATTCAATCTATAACAGTGAAAAGTGTTTTGTTTTTTTAAATCCAAGCTATTGTGACACCAGATCTAAGTGGTGGCACTGGTCACCGTATCCACTGTTAGCGCAACACACCTGCTTGAAGATAACTAACTGCTATTCAATCTATAACAGTGAAAAAAGTGTTTGTTTTTTTTTAAATCCAAGCTATTGTGACACCAGATCTAAGTGGTGGCACTGGTCACCATATCCACTGTTAGCGTAACACACCCGCTTTAAGGACACTGACTGCTATTCAATATATAACAGTGAAAAAAGTGGTTGTTTTTTTTTTAAATACAAGCTTTGTGTCACCAGATCTATGTGGTGGCAATGGTCACCGTATCCACTGTTAGCGTAACACACCCGCTTTAAGGACACTGACTGCTATTCAATCTATAACAGTGAAAAAAGTGTTTTTGTTTTTAAATCCAAGCTATTGTGACACCAGATCTAATTGGTGGCACTGGTCACCGTATCCACTGTTAGCGTAACACACCGCTTTAAGGACACTGACTGCTATTCAATCTATAACAGTGAAAAAAGTGTTTTGTTTTTAAATCCAAGCTATTGTGACACCAGATCTAATTGGTGGCACTGGTCACCGTATCCACTGTTAGCGTAACACACCCGCTTTAAGGACACTGACTGCTATTCAATCTATAACAGTGAAAAAGTGTTTTGTTTTTAAATCCAAGCTATTGTGACACCAGATCTAATTGGTGGCACTGGTCACCGTATCCACTGTTAGCGTAACACACCCGCTTTAAGGACACTGACTGCTATTCAATCTATAACAGTGAAAAGTGTTTTTTTTTTTTAAATCCAAGCTTTGTGTCACCAGATCTAAGTGGTGGCAATGGTCACCGTATCCACTGTTAGCGTAACACACCCGCTTTAAGGACACTGACTGCTATTCAATCTATAACAGTGAAAAAAGTGTTTTTTGTTTTTAAATACAAGCTTTGTGTCACCAGATCTAAGTGGTGGCACTGGTCACCGTATCCACTGTTAGCGTAACACACCCGCTTTAAGGACACTGACTGCTATTCAATCTATAACAGTGAAAAAAGTTTTTTGTTTTTAAATCTAAGCTTTGTGTCACCAGATCTAAGTGGTGGCAATGGTCACGTATCCACTGTTAGCGTAACACACCCGCTTTAAGGACACTGACTGCTATTCAATCTATAACAGTGAAAACAGTGTTTTTTGTTTTTAAATCCAAGCTTTGTGTCACCAGATCTAAGTGGTGGCACTGACTGGGGAAATGGGCACAGTATGCACTGTGAGCCTGACACAGAAGCTGGCAGCAGTGGCAGACAACTGACTGCTATTCAATCTATAACAGTGAAAAAAGTGTTTTTTTTTTTAAATCCAAGCTATTGTGACACCAGATGTAAGTGGTGGCAATGGGCACAGTATGCACTGTGAGCCTGACACAGAAGCTGGCAGCAGTGGCAGACAACTGACTGCTATTCAATCTATAACAGTGAAAAAAGTTTTTTGTTTTTAAATCCAAGCTATTGTGACACCAGATGTAAGTGGTGGCACTGACTGGGGAAATGGGCACAGTATGCACTGTGAGCCTGACACAGAAGCTGGCAGCAGTGGCAGACAACTAAGTGCAATTACATTACATAGAAATTTTTTTTTTTTTAAAAGCATACCCTTATCCCTAACCTAGCTATGCTTTTCCCTATCTTATGAACAGCAGCTTCACTTTCCCTCCTCTTACTAAGCATGCAGCTTGAGAATGAATCTAAAATGGATGCCTTCCAGGAGGTGGGAGGGTCTGCTAGGAGGGTGTGCTGCTAATTGGCTGGAATGTGTCTGCTGACTGTGAGGTACAGGGTCAAAGTTTACTCAATGATGACGAATAGGGGGCGGGTCGAACCGCGCATATGTTCGCCCGCCGTGGCGAACGCGAACATGCTATGTTCGCCAGGAACCGTTCGCTGGCGAACCGTTCGGTACATCAATATCTGTCAGTTTCTGCATTGGCTTCCCATTAGATATAGGGTTCAATTAAAATTTTGGTACTTGTTTACAAATCTCTACACAATGCTGCTCCCTTATACACAAGTGTGTCCCATCTAAGCTCCTATGCTCTGCCAAAGACCTACATCTATCCTCTGCTCGTACTCTCACCTCTGATGCTCACCTCAAGATTTCACTAGGACTGCACCGTTCCTATGGAACTCCCTTCACTTCACCATTAGACTTTCACCCAGTCTCCAGTCCTTCAAAAAAATCATTGAAAACTCACTTCTGCAGGAAAGCATATCCATTAAACTGCTAAGAGCTCTCACTCCCCGCACCCTTATTCCTCTCCTGCAACTGTCATAAAAAAATAAAAACACCCTCTGAAGCCCTCAGTGAATATGATTCTACCCTTACCTTTTGTGTCACTATACCCCACTCCCTCTAGCAGGTAAGCTCGTTGAGCAGGGCCCTCAACTCCACTGTTCCTGTAAGTCCAACTTGTCTGGTTTCGACAACGTGTCTCTCAGTCCAGCCATGCTACAGCACTGCAGAATCTGTTGGAGCTATATAAATAATAATAACAATAATAATAAGGATTTTATTATTTTTTCAGGCTGTGTCTATTTCGGTTATGAGAGGCAACCTGGATGGATTGCAGAGAGCAATTTACACATTCATTTGGCAGAAAAAAATGTCACAGATTTGCCACAGATTTGTTATATAGAAACAAAAGTAGGGGGGGGGGGCAGGTTTTTCCCAATTTAATCATGTATTCTAGCCCCTCTTCTATCTCCTCAATGATCCATAGGTATGCCCCTCCTCGTTCCCTCCGCTTTGCCCGTGACCACCTCCTGACCGCTGCTCGCACCCGTACAGCCAACTCGCGCTTGCAGGACCT